CAACAACAAAAAAAATGTATTGAACCCTGTGTATAGGTGGTGCTCTGGGCTCAGGGGAAGAGCACAGGCTCTGTAGTCAAGAGGTGTGTTGACGCAGGACATCCAGCCCACAGACTCCCCTTCTGAACAATAAGCTACTCCTCATCCATATAGCTACAGATGTGATAACACTATCACCATGATGCTCTGACCTGGGCAGCTGTGCCCAGAGCCCAGATAGCTTGGCCACCAGCCTATCCCTCTCCTCTAGCTTTGGGATAAAACACACAAAGCCCTTAAGCCCCTGGCTAGAGAGCAGATTCTTTCCCCCCTCACCACCCCCCTACCCAACCACTCCATGGAAGAGTAAGGACTTAGGGAGCAAAAAATCAGGGGGAAAGTAGGTCACAGTGGGAGGATGGTAATCCCCCAATAGCTAGCCAAAGCAGCTGGGCCCCTGCAGCAGCCAGCCTGCTTCTGCCTTCTACCAAGACTGGCTCTGGAAGACTTTGTGGCTCTGAAGTCCCACAGCATCCCTCTTAGCAGTATGCCCATTCTGAGGGGTCTGCCCTAAGATGGCCCATCTTCTGTACTGGGATCATTCCCAGTCCAAGTTCTTGATAACTGTAATAACTGTAACAGTTTATATACTGGATTTAAAGATTAAATCTCTCATTCTATATGCTTCACAAGTACACCCTTTATACCCAGGCCTAATTTGTCATAGACACAAAGAGGACACTTTACCCTTGAGGAGTCCACAGTGAGGAATTCTGACCTAGACTTAGACAATAACAAGTCAGTACTATCAGTACTGAGTTTTCCAGGGGCTACACAGACTGAGGTGGCTTTAATTCAGCTTGCAGTCAGGTTTAAGGAGTACTTCCTGGAGGTGATACTGAACAAGGAGTTCACCAGGAGGAAATGGGGAAGGGTGTTCCGAATTAAAAGGATAGATATACAAAGACGCAGAAGAATGAAACCTCTATTTTTCCTTCTGGACAATTCCAGTGGGCAAGGGGAGGGGCAGTGTGGGGAGGGCTTTTCTCTTGAAGCTTCCCCTTTGGGTGATAGGAGAAGATGGGCACTGACTGACAGAAATAGGGATAAAAGTCCAGGTGAATGAAGCACAGGAGCAAAAGCAGAGTAAGGGCAGAGAGAAGGAGTTAAGTGAGGCAGTGAGCTAGCCACCACAATGGGAGGATATTTAGGAATTATGGATGACACAGGATTCTTACACACCTGTGCAGAGGTCTCTGGAGACATCTGCCAGTCTGCGGCCTAAGCAAGGATCTCATCGGGCCTGACTCTGTCCTGAGGAGTGACAGCCTCAGTCCCAGCAAGGACTCCAGTGTAAGCCTGGCCTGCTGAACTCTGGAATCCCATGCCCTCCCCCATTGCTTTAGGTCTCCTAAAGTCCTCTCTGCTTCAGCTCACCTTTCCTGCATCACTTGGGTGGCATCCTTGTCTCCTATTACTCCCTAAGTGAGCACTGCTTTGCTTGTTGGAAGCCTCCCTTGTCCCCAAGGACTGGGTAGGTAGCTCTTTTTCGCTGCTCCATAGAGAGGCTGTAGGAGTAGACAGCTGGCTAATGCAGTGCCTTGTAAACAGGGAAAGGAGTTTATGGTAACATACAGTTTTTCAATTTAGAAAGTAGAAAATAAACTGGAAGGAGTGATAATAGAAACCGGTGGGGAGACTGTGGCAGTGCCTACACAAGTCATAAGGTGCATTAGGGTCACCCTTCCCTCTGAGGTCTTCTCCTGCCCCAGCTTCTATCCATGCTGATATTTTCCCTTCCTTTCCTCTCCAATGAAATATACCACACACGCTTTCCAAAGTTTCCCAAAAGCATTTTTGTTTTGTTTTGAGACAGTCTCACTGTGTAGTTCAGGCTGGTGCTGAACTCACTGTACAGTCCAGGCTGATCTTGAATTCTTGATCCTCTTGCCTTAGCCTCCCGAGGGCTGGGACTACAGGTGGCTGCCACCACGTCTGGTCCCCCCCCCCCGAAAATCTTATGAGACTGTTTTGATTCCATACTGTACACTTCTCAAAGAACAAGCTTGTAGAGAACAGGGGCCAGAGGATCACTCATCATAACCCAAGTTTCTACAGCTTCAAATCCTGTAAGGGCCTGAATGTGGACTCTAACAGGAGATTGCACCTTCTAGAACAGGACCCCTGGCCAAGAGGAGGCGGGGGCTGAGCATAGCACCTGAGTGTGTCTTCAGCAGAGGGAAGAGGAACTGAGATGTCAGGAGCCTGGAGGCAGAAAGGAGGCTAGGAAAAGGCCCTATATGCAGGGCAGGTTACCACCTCTCCAGGGACCATGATAGGAAGGGAAAGTAGGGCTAAGAGCTGGGCCTGAGAATCTTCCCCACAATCTGATCCCTCCACCCCAGCCAACCCAGGAAGCCAGAGAATGGCTGTGCATTCCGGCAGATTTTGGGTCTCCACCAGAACTCTTGGGACCTGCGAGTAATGGAAAGTTCTGTGCTGCAATAGGGGAAATGAATGTTTACAAGCAGGAAGATTGAGTCCCCAGTGGTGGC